GCCTGGCTCCTCATTTATGTTTGTTTGCTTTTTCTGAAAGTTCCAGTAACTTAATCATTGACACTGGCCTCGGTCCTGCCCTCTGCCGGTGCTGAGCGGAGTTCTGGCCGTGGCTCTGCCTGCACCGCCTCGTCCGGCACTATGCCCTCCGGCGCCGAGGCTGAGCGCTTGGGAGACGCCGATCCGTCCTTCGATGGAGACAGCCCATCCTGGCCTGGCGCGGACGGCTAAGGGAACGGGGGGGTTAGCGAGAGGCAGTGGAAGAGAAGAGCTGTTCCAGGCAAGTGTCTGAGCCCATGCACAATCATGCCATATCACAAGCAATGTTCTCCGCACTCCACTAATGCACAGGGATGTTGTTATAGTCACATGCGAAAGGTTATGCGCATACAAACCTTAATGGTGAAGGTTAGATGGTACTTCTTATTCTTGTCCAGGATCTCTGTAGGGAGAGTGATCTGCTGCCTCGTGTTACCGTGCTGTCCAGGGAAGTATAGTGTTATAGTGATGGGGAACTGGGCTGATGCGAGGGCATTCGGACTGTTTTTTTTAGCGAGGGGGTTATTTGTGATGTTAAGGTATGCTACACAGATCTTAAAGTTTTTAAACTTTGCTATACTAACCGTATGTATTATCGGAGTGATAAGTGTTTACAGCGAAGGGAGGTGTGATGCTACGGGCATAGAGATGAATATGGAATGATAAAATAAGGATCTATACGGAAAGAAAATGTATACGTAAAGAGAAAAGAAAATGTGTGTCCATGGAGACTACAAGGTAACGTCCGAGAAATATAGACGTAATTATATTACGTTGGAATTGGATACCTCAAACGTTTTTTATTATTTACGGTCTTCTCTTCTTCCTCTCTCCTCCTCTCTTCCTTCCTTTCTCCTCCTCCTCCTCCTCCTCCTCCTCTTCTTCCTCCTCCTCCTCCCTCTCTCTCTTCCTTTCTCCTCCTCCTCCTCCTCTTCTTCTCTCCTCCCTCCTTCTGTCCTCCTCCTCCCTCCTCTCCTCCTCTTCCTCCTCCTCCTCTCCTCCCCTCTTCCTCTTCTCCTCTCCTTCCTCCTTCCTCCTTCCTCTTCTTCCTCCGCCCTCCTCCTCCTCTTCTTCCTCCTCCTTCTCTTCTTCCTCCTCCTCCTCCTCCTCCTCCTCTTCTTCCCTTCTTTCCTCCTCCTCTTCTCCTCTTCTCCTCCTCCTCCTCTTCTTCCTCTTCCTCCTCCTCCTCTTCCTCTTCTTCCTCCTCCTCCTCTTCTTCCTCCTCCTTCTCCTCCTCTTTCCTCCTCCTCCTTCTTCCTCCTCTTCTTCTCCTCCTCTCCTCTTCTCCTCTTCCTCCTCTTCCTTCTCCTCCTCCTCCTCCTTCCTCTCTCCTCTTCTCCTCTTCCTCCTCTCCTCCCTCCTCTTCTCTTCCTCCTCCTCCTTCCTCTTCTTCCTCTTCCTCCTCTTCCTCTCCTCTTCCTCCTCCTCTTCTTCCTCTCCTCCTCCTCTTCTTCCTCTCTTCCTCCTCCTTCTTCTCCCTCTTCCCTCCTCCTCTTCTTCCTCTTTCTCCTCCTCTTCTTCCTCTTCCTCCTCCTCTTCTTCCTCTTCCTCCTCCTCTTCTTCCTCTTCTTCCTCCCTCTTCTTCTCCTCCTCTTCCTCCTCCTCTTCTTCCTCTTCCTTCTTCTTCCTTTTCCTCCTCTTCTTCCTTTTCCTCCTCCTCTTCCTTTCCTCCTTCCTCTCTTCCTCTCCTCCCTCTTCTCCTCTTCCTCCTCCTCTTCTTCCTCCTCCTCCTTCTTCTTCTATTTCTTCTTCTTCTTCCTCGTCCTCCTCATTCTCATTCTCTTATTCTTATTCTTACTATTATTATTCTCCTTTTCCTTCTTCTTCCTCTTCTCCTTCTCTTTCTCTTTCCCTTTCTCTTTCTACTCCTTCTCCTCCTCCTCCTCCTTCTTCTTCTTCTTCTTCTTCTTCTTCTTCTTCTTCTTCTTCTTCTTCTTCTTCTTCTTCTTCTTCTTCTTCTTCTTCTTCTTCTTCTTCTTCTTCTTCTCCTCTCATCAACGAATTAAGGTTAGTACTCCGTGTTCATGGCTACTACTACTAACGACTAACTACTACTACTACTACTACTACTACTACTACTACTACTACTACTACTACTACTACTACTACTACTACTACTACTACTACTACTACTACTCCTACTCCTACTCCTACTCCTACTCCTACTCCTACTCCTACTCCTCTCATCAACGAATTAAGGTTAAGTACTCCGTGTTCATGGCTTAAACGAAACTACTACTCCTACTACTACTACTACTACTACTACTACTACTACTACTACTACTACTACTACTACTACTACTACTACTACTACTACTACTACTACTACTACTACTCCTCTCATCAACGAATTAAGGTTAAGTACTCCGTGTTCATGGCTTAAACGAAACTCTTGGCGGAAAGGTGAGGCAGTGATGTGGAAACGGAAAAGGCGAAATTACAATGAAAGGCAACAAAGACGTGTTTGATGGACTAATAAGTGTAGGTGTAAACAATTAAAAGAAAGAAAAGTAACGAAGGATATAATTAGGAAATGGAAGTGAATGTTCCAAGTTGACGATATCGGAATCAAATGCAAGGATTAAAACTACGTAAGTCAGCCGAAAAGTGCTGGATGTCAAGAAGACAATGCTGAACAAAAGTACAGTGAATAGTTCGAACCCGACGAAACCTATTGTAATTTCATTTCCAAACTCTACTAACGTAACAGGAGCTTTATCTGACACTGCGCGGCATAACTTACACATGTTACATTTATATATAATACATGAGGCACTAATTTCAAACGTGTGTGAGAAAGAGAGAGGAAACGCTAATAAAAAAGTGAAAATTCCTAAACATATAGAATTAGTGTAAGTGATGACTTAAGAACACACCGTGAGAAACACACCAGTGAGGTGAAAAGAAGTGATTGTCAGACAAAGGAATTCTGTTTCCACTATATAAGATTGTGATGAGTTTGGATATAATTGTGTGTCGGAATCTGGCGATTCCGCATTTCTTTTGTTCAACGGACACTTAGTTGAAGACGCCAGTTATAATGCGAAACATACTCTAGGGAAGTGAATAACAGAAGGTTCTAGGTTGAGGAGAGGATTAGGAAGGTTAGCAGTGTTTTCACCTGAAGATTTGGGAATTCAGTTAGAGTCGGGGTTATGATTAGTTCCGGGATTAAAGAGGTCATTAGGACTCTAGTTTGAGTGCATCGAGGGTCTTGTTTGCGAAAATGGTGACCGAATTAAGGACTGGAAAGGGAATGGGTCAGATCAGAGGATTAGAAAGGGATTGGTCAGAGAAGAGCATTTGGGAGGGAATAATGATCCTAATTCTTGGATAGACAGGAAGGAAAGAGAGGTCAGGTATCTGTCAGGAAACAAGCCCAGTTCACCAAAGTCCACCTACAGCAGTCGAGTTCCTCAAATCTCAAAAGAAAAAAAGAGGGAAAACCAAGATACTGTGATTTTAAAAAAATCTACCACTGAGTGATATTTTTTACTTAAGTGCAGTAAAAGACAATTAAAAAAATAGATCCACAGAGGCAGAAGCGTATCAATTAGCACGATCGGAATTACCATCTAGTGTGGTGGGTTCATGAGCCGTGAGTTGTGCTCGTTGCTGTTTCGAACGAGAATGAACACGCATTTTTTCCCATTAGGCAACAGAATATTTGAATTAGAATTTAGTTAAGCAGTAGATTGTTAATTAAGACATCTAGTTTGGTGCTATTTAAATATAGTAGCCGATTAATTATCATATTGGCTTATTTATCATAGATTTGATTTCTCTTTAAAGATGTAAGCAGACCAAAAGTTACTCTGTATTCATTCATCGCGCTCTCTGAAACTATGTTAAAAGTGTGATCCAACGTATAATCTCGGGAATCTCGAAATAACATGAAATACTCTGAACTAAATACTAATCATGACCTTTTCGATCATGAAATTCTACTTCAGATGGAATCTACAACGAAATCGGAGAATGGAGAGTCCCGTAACTTGTCTCTCAAGAAAGGGCTACATTTTTTTCTCTACAGTTCCTGAAACTCCTGAAATACATGACAGGAATCATGCAAAATGTTCTCCATGCAACATCGATATATATGGAAAGGAAACTGTGGATATATTCTCTGATATGACAGGCCAATATATGACCCTAGAGCAACTGAATGGTTCTTTCATCATTTAGGAAATCATTCAAAAACCATACAGGACGGACGGGATTGGGCTCGACTAAGGGCTTCAGTACTGGGAAGGAAGAAGTTCTTGGGTGCGAGACTCGGATCATTTTCAGCAGCGGTGTCAGCCATGTTACTCAGACTACTCAGACTGCATGCTGTTGTACACAAATGATGGAAGCGGTTTTCCAAGCGTATTATATCATTTATATCAAGAGTATACTACGTTGTCTTATTTCCCTCAGTCAGAAATGTGCCCATCAATTATGGATATATTTCATCATGAAAGTAAACTGGACGGTTTATGCGATACTGATATGGGTAGAATAATTCATGTTAACTACAGGTACAATACGATAATTGAAGTTTCCTTCATAATTATTTTTTCTCTATGAAGTAGAGTTAAATATTGTGAGTGAATACTGAATGGAGATTATGTAAATCATATGTAAATCTACATCGGGTTTAAAGCCATATGTTTAAGAGAACAAGGAATATAAGCAGTTCTAAAACCACCCAGCTGGCGTTTTTATTCGTTCAGATAGTCCATAATATTACTTCCTTTTTCGGAAAGGACCTATTTCAAAATTTCTGAGTAGTGACTTATTGGATTTTATCTACTGTGTGCGGCGTAGGCGCACAGCTATATAATTTCACGGGTATGTTGTGTAACAAACTAATGTATCCGTAATGTAAGGCTAAAATTTAGATGCCATTCTTTACGCGGATGTGCGCTTTTCTACAGACCGAAAACCAAGAATTTCCTTGGTTCATAGAACCCATCAAC